CGAAAGAAAGAAAGAAAGAAAGAAAGAAAAAGAAAGAAAGAAAGAAAAAGAAAGAAAGAAAGAAAGAAAGAAAGAAAGAAAGAAAGAAAGAAAGAAGAGATGGGTTATAAAGGCTGGAGGATTCCAGGGATTGAAGATAGAAGTGAATTCTCTGAATTTCAATGGTCTCAAAACGGGTAACCAAATAGATAAGGTTTGGAAGTGTAGTCACTGAGGAAGGAATTATAGGTAGGGCTTATCTGGGTTCTCCAGAACCAGGTATTTGAGGTAAGTCTCAAAATGGGCTATGCGGTTCTGGAAAACGAAACAGAGAGTAAAAAGCGACTATTTGGAGCAGGAAAGGGGGTTCTGTGGGTCCGAGTAGGCGTGTCTGAGGGGAGGGAGCAGGTGCAGCTTATCTGCGTCCCCCAGACCCGGGTCCCTGGTAAGGTCAGCAGCGTGTTATCTGGGTCTCCAGGGAGCCTGGGGGTCAAGAGTAGGGGACCCTCAGGGCTGCGTCTCCAGGTCTCGGTAGGGAGGGAGCCAGTGGGGTTTCTTCCGGTCCCCCAACCCAGGTGTCGGTTCCAGGGAGAGATTTCGTCACCCTGGGGCCTATCTGGGCCCGAACTGGCGTGGAGGGGGCCCCCGGTCGGGGGTGTAGGCGACCGCGCCGTGGGGCCCGAGAGGAGAGGCGCCGCCGCTCCGGGTGTCGGGCGCGCGGGCGCAGCGAGACGGCCTCCCGCCCCGCTCCCCGCCGTCCCCCGGGGCCCTCGCCGGCACTCACCGCGCTCGGGGCCCCGCGCCGCGGGCCGGGCCGCGCTCGGGCTCCGCCAGGCCCGCTCAGGCCCCGGTAGTGGCGGCGGTCGGGCCATTGTGCGGTGCATTGTGGGAGCCGCGCGAGCGGGCGCTCGGGCCGTGGAGGGGGCGGTGCCGCGGGCTCTCTATGGTCCCGCCCGCCCGCCGGCTAGAGAGGCCGGGGCGGCGCGCGGGCGGCGCGCGATGACCGCCGGGAGCGGGGCGGACGCTCGCGCCCCTCCTTCTCTCCCCGCCTGTGGGCTACCCCGCGCTCGGGCTCCGGAGCCGTCATGGGCGCCGCCGCGTGGGCACCGTCGCCCCTGCTGCTGCGTGTGTCTCTCCTGATTCTGATTCTGCCGCTCCCGGGGCTGCCCGCGGGCTCCTGGGACCCGGCCGGTTACCTGCTCTACTGCCCATGCATGGGTAAGGCCTCCCGAGCCCTCTGCTCAAATAGGGAAACTGAGGCCCAGAGAAGCGAAGGCCCTCTTCTGAGGCACTCAGAGATACCTTGACATGTCCAGGACAGAAACCCAGCGCAGGGCATGGCCTGCTCCTCGCCTCCCTGCCCCAGTTGCAGTGGCCCTGAGGGACCTCTGTGTCCAGCCTTCCAATGTGGCAGATGAGGAAACTGAAGCCGGAAGAGGTGATGTGTCTTGTGCAAGGTCTAAGCCATCCCAGAGTTCAGTAAATGGAGTTTGCTGGGGCAGAACTTGATATGACTGACTCAACGTTGGCTCTGGACGATTTTTTCACCAACCAATAGTATTTATAGGACCCTTACTCTGTGTCCAGCCCTGTTTTCTGCTCTGCGGATACAGCAGTGATAAGCTAGAAAACGCCGTGCCCCTGTAGAACCTTCATTTTAGCGGGGGAAAGACAGACAATAAAAGATACACATAAAAAATAAGTAACTATGTGGAGTATCATAGAAGAGGATGAACACCGTGGGAAAATAAAATAGAGAAGAGCAAGGGGGAATCTAAAAGCTGGCTGAGGGGTGCAATTTAAATGGGGTGGTGGATCATCGTAGAAGTCATTTCTTTTTCAGACCCTGCAGATCTTGATGATTTGGCTCTCTGCGCATCATTACCACCACTCCCTTCTCCCCAGGTCCTCCAGCTGCAGCCACTCTTTATTCCCTCTCTGTTTTTCACACATAATCAGGTCCTGAAGCCTGTGCTATTCCCTCTGCCTGGAACACCTTCCCCTTCACTTCTGCCAGATCAACTCCTTCCCATTCTTAGGTCGCATCTTAAATGTCACCAGAAAGGGCTTCGCTGACCTCGATGCAAATAATCTCCACTTTATTGTCTATCAATCACCAAACTTTTCCTGTCTTGAAATCATCAGAATGTGTCACTGTATACTTGTTTACATGTTTAATGTCTCTGTAGCTGGACCGTGATTGCCTCGAAGGCAGAGACCTTATCCTTCTTGCTCAATCCCGTATTCCAGTACCAAGCAGAGAGCCTGGCACATTGTGGCGTCTCTCTATTTGTGGAATGAATGAATGGATGTCATGCTAGGGACATGGAAAAGAATCAGATAGGGTCCTCACCCCAGGCCCCCAAGGTATTTACAGGCTGAAGACACAGCCAGTACAAAGGCCAGGAAGTGAGAAAGGACATTTGAGGAAAAGTGAAGAACCGGAAATAACTCCAGTCTGAGGTGGGAGACAGAGGAGGGGATTCAGGATAGCAGAGGATTGGTGAAAGGATCCCAGTGAATGAGGCACTGGAGTTGCCCCTTTCACGCACAAGTGAGTGGAGATAGAGGTGGAAAGGCAATCCTGGATGAGAGAACCCCAGGAGCAAAGGCATGGGGTGAGGATGGAAAGTGTAGAGCATGTTTGGGAACACCAAGGCACCTGGAAGGTCTGAGGCAGAGGGGTAGGACCTAAGGGCCTTGATTGTCAGACCCAGGAGTCCACACCTGGATCCTATGCTGCCAGCTCCCCTGGCTCTCCTTGGTGTCCCGGTCCTCCTCACCCCTGGCTCTGCGTCCTTTCTGGACCCTGCATGCCCCATGCCCTCCATGCCCCAGGCCTCACCTCAACCACCATATACCATCCAGGGCGCTTCGGGAACCAGGCCGATCACTTCTTGGGCTCCCTGGCTTTTGCAAAGCTGTTGAACCGCACCTTGGCTGTACCCCCTTGGATTGAGTACCAGCATCACAAGCCTCCCTTCACCAATGTGAGTACCTCCCACTGACCTTAGCCCTTGTCCATCTTACCCCAATCCTGCTTACCTCCTCCTGACCCCAAGTCCTTCTCTGGGCTTTACCTCCCACTCCTCTGAGCCTGCCCTGCTCCCCACCCAGAACTGTCTTCCCTGGCTACCTGGCTAACACTTATCCAGTGCCTTCGGTCTGCCAGGCACTGTCCTGAGCACTGCAGGAGGACTAGCTCTTTTCTCCCTCGTTACATGCCTATGAGGAAACAGGTTCCCAGAGGTTAGGTAACTTGCCCAAAGTCACACGGCTTATAAGTAGTGTAGAGCTGGAACTCAAGCTCATGTCCGTCTGACTCCAGAGCCTGTGATAGGAACTTAAAGCTCCATTTCCACCACTGATTGGTCCCACCCTCTGGGCATCCCATTGGTCAAAGGGTGATGGATGCTAGTGTCAGTCTGAAGGAGAAACTGAGGCACAGGTTAGTTAATAATGTGTCCAAGGCCATAAACCCAGGCGGTCTGGCTCCAGAGCTGCCTCACCCCATCACAGTGATACTCAACACCCTCTAATTCCTTGCTTTTTATTTGTGTCTTCCACTGATCCTGTGTCTGTCTTTGTTCACACTATGTCCCCCAGAGGCCTGGCAGTAGGAATTAATCTGATGAACTGACTTTAAAAGTTTTTAATAAACTTTAAAAAACGATATTTAGTATGTACAAAACACTGTATTTCATTCTTACAGCTTTTTCTCTGCGTAGGTTTTATTTATTTTTATTTTTTTCTTCTGCATGCCTATATTTAGAGAGGTTTTTATCAGAAGTTAAAAGCCAGAGTACCTGAGATCATAGTTTGGCTTTGCCACTTACTGGCTATGTAGACTGGACAGAGTACTTACTTGATCTCTTTGTGCTCAGTTTCCTCATCCTTAAAAGAGGCTGATAGTAATTGTGGCCACCTCCCATAATGAGTGAGTGATTGTAGCATGCCTTGAACATTGTATGCCTCTCTCTTAGAATCAACTAAGTTCATAGGGGTGCCTGGGTGTCTCAGTCAGTTAAGCGTCCAGCTTCGGCTCAGGTCATGATCTCGCGGTTTGTGAGTTCGAGCCCCGCGTCGGGCTCTGTGCTGACAGCTCAAAACCTGGAGCCTGCTTCAGATTCTGTGTCTCCCTCTCTCTCTGCCCCTCCCCCGCTTGTGCTCTGTCTCTCAAAAATGAATAAATGTAAAAAAAAATTAAAAAAGAATCAACTAAGTTCATCAATGCAAAGTGTTTAGGACATAGGAAGTCCTCAGTAACTGGGAGCCACTGATGTGCTGATTTTTTGCACTCAGTGTTATAGTTTAGACATTGTCTGTTCATCTCACTCTGGCTTGTTTTCTTTCTCTGGCTTTGTCTTCTCAGCCAAAAATCTTTCCGAGTCTCTACTTCTTGCTTTTTTTGGGTTACTCAACCCGTCCAATTACTCTCCTCTTCCCCACTGGGGCTGTTCTCACAGAGGTCACCAGGGACCTCAGAATTGCCAAATCTAGGTGTCATTTCTCAGTCTTTCCCTCAGGTATTCTCCTGGTGACACCTGGTCCTGTGAGCCTTTCTCCTTCCTGAACGTCCCTACTCTCCTGTCTTCTAAGACACAGCCTATTCCTGGGGCGCCTGGGTGGCGCAGTCGGTTAAGCGTCCGACTTCAGCCAGGTCATGATCTCACGATCTCACGGTCCGTGAGTTCGAGCCCCGCGTCAGGCTCTGGGCTGATGGCTCGGAGCCTGGAGCCTGTTTCCGATTCTGTGTCTCCCTCTCTCTCTGACCCTCCCCCGTTCATGCTCTGTCTCTCTCTGTCCCAAAAATAAATAAACGTTGAAAAAAAAAATTTAAAAAAAGACACAGCCTATTCCTGCTTTAGCCCTGACCTCTCAGCATTTTCCTCTTTGTGTTGTATTGGAGGCTTTTCTCTCTCCACTCACTGTTTAAATATTAGTGTGTCTCCTCCTCCTGTTTGGGTATTAGCTCTGTGACCTCAGTTGAGTTATCTGGATTCTGTCTGCCTGGGTTTCTTCATAAGTACATTGGAGATAGTTATATTCCTACCTCTTAGAATTAGATGAGCAAGTCCATGAAATGTGATGAGCATACTAAGTCAGCACTCAATAAATATTAGTTGCTGTTATTACCATCATTTGCTTTGTTGTAAATTTCTGTTAAATCTTGTGGCTTTCACTGTTTTCCACGTACCTCCCAATTTACCTGAGGCCCAGATCCTCCTCTGATCACAAGCCTGTGTTTCTAATTCCTAAGCCCTTGAGTCTATTTGGATGTCCCACAGATACCTCAAATTCACAAAGCCAGAACTGAACTTGGCATCTTTCCCTCACAAACCTGTGTCACCTCCTATATTCCCAGCCTTAGTTTATGTTACCTCCATTCACCTGGATACCATGCCAGGAATCTAGAAGTCATCCTGAATACCTCCTTTTACCCGCTACTTCATCTTCCTTTACCTCTCCTAACCTGTCCATGCCTTCCATCTTCACCTGGACTTATGCTCAAAAATATATGTTGAATGAGTACTTGAACAAATAAAGGGATCGCTGCAGTACCCTCCTGATTCCTCTTCCTCCTCTAATCTTACCATCTATATGTTCTCTTCTCTGCCACTAGAGTGATCTAAGAGGCAAATCTCCTATTATTTCTGTTTAAAATCCTTCAGCAAGACCTAGTTGCTAATGGTTAAGTGCCCCAAAGTCTGTTGGAATGCCAATGGCTTGTGAAGGAAGGGTGCAGTGGTTAAATCAGCTTGGGAAATTATATTCTCAATACCCCAGCCTCCCAAACTGGAGATTCAAACTACGTATTACCATACTGCAAAGTCCTGTAGTAAAGAAATCAGCTCAACACAGTGTTTCCCAGGTCTGTGTAACTCTGGAGCCTTTTGACTGCAGAACTCTTTATTCTCCTGAACTAGTGGAACATGCTTGGGAACCCTGAGCTATAGGATAAAGTCTACATTTTTATTCCATGGTGTTCTAAAAAGCTTTTTTAAATCCAGAAAAATACAGAGATTAATACAGTCACCATCCATGTACTTACCACTAGAAGTGATCGTTGTTAACATTTTCTTCTTTGCTTCATCTTTCTTTTTTTTTTTTTAATACAAGAAATAAAATATTATTACAGATGAAGTTGTTAAAAGATAAAGCCTCACGTGGCTCCGGAGGCTAGTCCCGCTCCCCTCCCAGTCCCAGAGGCAACCACTGTCATGGATATAGTGTCTTCAGTGTGACTCCTTCCAAGGTCTTTCTTGTACTTCTGCTGCGGCACTGAGCATCCTTACACCCATCTCCTGGTGCAAAGTGGGAGAGCTTCTCTAGGGAAAATACATAGAGGTGCAAGGAGCATTTTAAATTCTAGTAGATGCTGCAAAATTGCATTCTAAAGTGGTTGTTCCAAAACGTATACTTTGACTACCAGCCAGGTACAGCAGTCCCTGTTTCCCCACATCCTTTCCAAAAACTAAAGTTAAGTTTTTAGGTCCTGGGTGGCTCAGTCAGTTGAGCGTCTGACTATTGATTTCGGTTCAGGTTTCACGGTTCAGAATATTGAGCCCCATGTTGGGCTCTGAGCTGATAATATGGAGCCTGCTTGGAATTCTCTCTCTCTCAAATAAATAAACGTGAAAAAAAATTTTTAATAAAGCTTTTTAAAAATGTTTATTTATTTATTTTTGAGAGAGAGAGAGCACAAGCTGGGGAGGGGCAGAGAGAGAGGGAGACACAGAATCCAAAGCAGGCTCTAGGCTCTGAGCAAATTACTGTATTTGCCCAGAGCCCCACACGGGGCTCAAACTCACAAACCGTGAGACCTGAGCTGAAGTCAGATGGTTAACCAACTTAGCCACTCAGGAGCCCCTAAAGTTAAGCTTTTAAATCTTTGCTGGTCTAATGAGTGAGAAGTGGTCTTGTAATTGCAATTTGTTTTTTTCTAATTACTAGTGAGTTTGTATATCTTTTGAGTGTATTGGCTATTTGAGTTTTCTTTGCTGTGTAAGTTTTTCACTCCTCTCCTTTGCTCACATTTTCTTTTACAGCCTATGTCTTTTTTCATCTAGATCAGCAAGCATTTTTGAACACAAGGGGTGTTACTATTTCTTTGTTAGTTTGCAGATAAATTCTCCCAGCCTGTTTCCGTTCTAAGTTTGGTGTCCTTTCCTAAAAGTTTTTCATTGGCTCACAGTCTGAGTTATCTGGGTCTTGGATGCATGCTTTTATTAAATGTCTTTAATAGAGCCACTAGGATACTGAAGAGGGACCTCTGCCTCTCCTTTTCCATCTTTTCCTGTAGCTCCATGTGTCTTACCAGAAGTACTTCAAGCTGGAGCCCCTCCAGGCCTACCATCGGGTCATCAGCCTGGAGGACTTTATGGAGAAGCTGGCACCCACTCATTGGCCCCCTGAGAGGCGAGTGGCATACTGCTTTGAGGTGGCAGCCCAGCGAAGCCCTGATAAGAAGACGTGCCCCATGAAGGTGGGTCTGGGGGACCCTTTATGCCTGTTCCACGTCCTTTAGGCCCCTGAGACGCTGTGATGGCAATATGTGGGGGATGGCACTAGAAGGGCTTAGAGTAGAAAGATGGAGATTTAAGTCCCATTTGTGATATTTGTCAGCAGTGTCACTTTGGGCAGAGTACCTTGATTCCCTTGAGACTTTATTTTACCAGCAAAATAAAGACACCAATCCCTGCTCTGTCTCACTCATAAATGTCATGAGGGTCAGGTGTAAGAGTGCTTGTAAACTGTGAAGTGCCACATCAGTAATAATAACTAATACCCATATGGCACTTACTACGTGCCAGGTACCATGCTTAGAGCTTTACACATGTTAACCCAGTTACTCCTCAAACTGCTCCACTAGGGAAGTACGATTAATATCCCCATTTTATAGATGGGACATGAGCGTAACACAAAGAGGTTTGGTATTTTCCCCAGGGTTACATTAGCAAACAAGTGGTGGAGCTGGGATTCAGCCCCAGGTGATTTGGCTCCATTGTCCACCCTCTTAACTTGTATACTTTCCTGCCTTTCAGTGGGTAAATAAGAAGCTGTCATATTTTATCAGGAGAAATTTATAATTTTCTGGCACTTTGGGAATAAGACAATCCCCAGTATGTCTGTAGGTGCTTATGCTAAAGTCTGGGGAGGGTGGTTGGTGGAGCCACAAAACTTGAGAAAGGAAGACTTGGCTTACAGCCCCAGCACTGGCCTCACCTTGGGCAAGTGTTTTACCCTGTCTGGACCCTGGTTTCCATCTTGAAAATACAGGCATTGAGGGGCACCCAGGTGGCTCAGTCAGTTGAGCTTGATTTCAGCTCAGGACATGATCTCACACATGGTTCATGAGAGTGAGCCCCATATCTGGCTGTGCTCTGACAGCCTGGAGGCCACTTGGGATTCTCTCTCCCTTTCTTTCTGCGCCACCTTCTCTCTTCCTCTCTCTTAAAATAAATTTAAAAAGCATTTAAAAGAAAAGAAGAAGGGCGTTGTATTAGCTGGTCTTAAAAGTCTCTGGAAGCTCTAGTCCAAGATCCAAGGCCCAAATCCAAGGTTCACTCCCTCCCCACTTACCCCACCAATGCTGCTGCAGCTTCAGTGGGATATGGCATGTAAAGGAGGAAAGACTCCTTTAGACACTGGTGAACATTTCCTGCTGAAAACCAGGTTGGAGGCCCAGCTGCTCTCCTCAGGTCTCCAGCCCAGGCTTTACAAAGTGGCATTCCTATTGGGCCATCCCATGAGGTGTTTCAACCTGTGTCCAGTCCACCAGAGTTCCCCCACCCACAATTCCTTGGCCCCATCCCCAAAGGGCTTTCCCTCCTCAGTAAGCCTTTGATCACTCTCTTTCTGCAGGAAGGAAATCCCTTTGGTCCATTTTGGGATCAGTTTCATGTGAGTTTCAACAAGTCGGAGCTTTTTGCAGGCATTTCCTTCAGCGCCTCCTACAAAGACCAGTGGATCCAGAGGTACTTGGAGGGGGCAGTGTTGCTGGGTTTAAGGGAGGGGCCTGGGGCCCATGAGCATTCAGCACCTTCCTGACCCTCTTCCCCTCCACCACACCCTGATGTATGAGACCAAAGGTGCAGCCGTTCTATCTGTTGAACTTGGGATCCTGTGTGATCTGTTCCCATCTCAACGCCTGACACGGTGGGACGTTGACCTGCCACAAGGTTGAGCAAGAGTTTATCAGCCGATAAAGGATGTCATAAAAAGATTATTGTGCAGTCACATGGGTCCCGATTTCCTCCTCTAGGCATGAGAATCATTCCCCTCTTAACCTTCCTCCTCACAAGGTGAAAATTGGAAGCAGCGTCTAGAGAAAAGCAGCTTCAGGTGCAGACTGAGAGATGATGTCATCCAGATAATAATTGGATGTGCTTTATTAATTGTGCTACGGTAGGCCCTATTAAAAAAAAAAATAGGTTAGCAGGGCACAGGCACAGGCTGTGAAATATTTATAGAGCGTCTGTCATGTATGAGACATAGTGCTCAAAAGCCAGAGGTGATATATAAAAATGAAGAAGACCCAGCCTCAGCCCTCAGGGAGCGACAGGCTGGTTACAATGATGATAACTATCAGAGTGCGCTTGCCTTGATGCTAGAGCATGGCAGGAATGAACGTGGGCTTGAAAGTCAGACAGGTTGGGAGCTGTGAGGGACATATGAATTCACACAGGGTCACAGCACTTGGCATTCAGTAGACCAAGGACAGACTGATGTAGAGAAAGGAGTCACGCTCATGATAAGTCAGACCTGGGCTCTGATTCACCCCTGCCTCTTTCTCAGGCGACCCTGAGCAGCCTCTCCAGCTGTCTGGCCTGAATGGAAGGAGCACTATGGTATCTGCTTCCTAGAGCTTAGAGCGCATGGCACATAGTAGGGGGCCAACCAATGTTAGCTGTTACTGTTGTTATTCACATGCTTTATTTCATACAAGCCTTTGAGAAACTTCATGAGGTGGGTATTATGATCAATTTCCATTTGGCAGGTAAGGAAACAGCTCAGTGAGGTAACATAACTTGCCCAGGGTAACTGAGCTGGTGAGAGGGCAGCTGCAGTCCAAATGTAACTCTTCAATAGATGAGAAAGCTACTGTTTATTTAGTGCCTGTTGTGTACCGAACACTGTTCCAAGTTTTCCTTTTCACTACCTAAGTCTCCTAAGGTTACTTACTCGATACTTCCACAAGTCTGTATGACAGGCATTATTGTCTTCTGCGCTTTACACTTAAGGAGATTGAAGCAGAGAGGAGTGAAATGTGTCCAAGGTCACACAGCTTGAAGTGGCAAAGCTAGGATTTGAACCCAGGCAGTCTAATTCCAGAGCACCCATTCTTAATCACTATGGAGAAAACAGCTGTGCCTGGAACAGGTGGCAATTCCCATTTGGGACTTCCGAGCTAATTAAGGAGCTACTGAGGACACTTGGTCATGGCAGGTTCCACTCCTCCCTCATGGTTGGTCTAGGACATTCCCATTTGATCACCTACTTGGTTCTTCCTATTCAGTTCTGAGTGACCTGGAGCTATTGCCAAAAGGTAGATCTGCCCTCCAAGGGTGGAGATTTTTCTCCTATTGACAAAGTGCCAGGAAAAAAATATATGACACCAGCTCCAAAATAGTTCCAAAGCAAATTCCAGAAAACCAGAAATATCACACAAGCCTGGTTGGAAGAGAAGGTACAGTGCTGCATGGATGCATCAGTCAGGGAATGTTGCTAAAACACTTGCTCAGTGCCTCACCATCTTGTTTGAGTTCACTGAGTTGTAGGAATTGCATGATGGCTTGGGAAAGCTTGGGCTTTACAGCCAGATTTCCCTCCCCTCCCCTCCCTCCCCCTCCCCTCCCCTCCCCCTTATTTAAGAAGCACCTGCTGGGTGCCAAGTACTGGTCTGGACACTGGGGTTACTGGCAAGAATAAGACAGATAAGGTCCCTGCCCTGATGGAGCTGAGTCTAATGGGAGAGACAGTGAATAAGCCTTTACAGAAGATAATTCCAGAAGACAAAGTACTATGAAAGACACACACAGATGTTGTGTGTGAGACCTTGTCTCAGTCAGCTCAGGCTGCTATAACAAAATAGCACAGACTAGGGGTTTAAACAGCAGGTGTTTATTTCTCGTGGTTCTGGAGGCTGGGAAGTCTGAGACAGGATGCCAGTATTGGGTTCTTGCATTGGGTTCTGGTGATCTCCCTGGCTTACTGCCTTTCTGCTGTGTCCTCACATGTTAGAGTGAGAACAGGCTCACTTATAAGGCACTAATCTCATTATGGGGGCTCTACCCTTATGACCGCAACTAAACTTAATTGCTTCCCAAATGCCCTACCTCCTAATATTATCACCTTGAGGGTTGGTACCTCAACAATGGATTTGGGGGGACACAAGCATTCAGTCCATGAGAGACCTGAAGAAAAAGACCCATCCGTGGAAAAAGCTGGAGAGAAAGGTAGTTCTTCATGGTGGGGACATGGAGAGCAGAGGCTCTGAGGCAGGAACAAGCTTAGTATGATCAAGGGGCAGACAGAAGACCAGTGTGGCTGGTGTGGAGTGAGCGAGGAGGAGAATGGGAGACTGTGCCGTTGTCTTTTGCTGCATAATAAACCATTCCAAAACTTAGTGGCTCAACAGCAGTGTATTATTATTTCCCAGAGTTCTGTGGGTTGACTGGGCTCAGCAAGGCAGTTCTTGTGTTCTTTGATTTTCCATGTTCTTTATAGAATCCCAACTGTACAAAGTTTCAATTCATGTTAAACATCAAATTTCTTGGTGTAAGTATCCTTTAGAATATCCACCACAGATTTGGTGGGAGATTTTAAAAAAATTTTTTAATAAAGAAGAAAATTAAATTTACTCCTAATCCACCACCCTGTCAAAAAACACTCTTTGCATTTTGATGTATGTACTTCCATTCTCCAGTGCTTTTTTTAAATGTCTTTTTAATTTTTATTTTTGAGAGAGAGAGAGAGGGAGAGCACGTTGCATGAGCGGGGGAAGGGGCAGAGAGAGAGAGGGAGACAGAGAATCCCAAGCAGGCTCCGCGCTGTCAGCACAGAGCTCGAACTCCTGAACCAAAGATCATGACCTGAGCCAAAGTTGGATGCTTAACCGACTGAACCCCCCAGGCACCCCTCCAGATACTTTTATACAAATCTACTTACCTATACAGATTAACTTAAAACGAAATTACTGCATATAGTTTGTAATTGAGTATTGTTTATCATTTCTGAAGAGTAATTAATATCAGTATTCACTAGGTTAGTAAATATTGCTGGCAGGATTAGTTCTAAACATAAAAATGTGAGATTTCAAAAAATGGTTACCTTGGTGTATATATGTGTATTTGTGCCACTGGAGTGTGTCTGTTATTTATTCATTTACCATTGTAACCACTTTTTTAAGTGTACAATTCAGTAGCATAAGCACAGTGAATTGTGTGACCACCACCACCGTCCATCTCCAGAACTTTCTCATCACCCCAGACAGAACCTCTGTACCCATTAAACACTACTCCCCATCCTTCCACACCTCTGCCCATCCCTCTATTCAATTTTTCTGTCTTTGAGTTTGCCTGTTCTAGGTCTCGTATAAGTGGAATTATATGATATTTGTCTTTTCATGCCTGGCTTCTATCACTTGGTATAAGGTCTTCAAGTCTTGTCTGTGCTGTAGTATATATAAAAATTTTAGTCCTTTTAAGGCTAAATAGTTCATTGTATGTACAGACCACATTTTGTTTATCCATTCATCTATTGATGGACACTTGGGTTAGCTGGGCATGTCTTGCTTTTTGGTCAGCTTTCAGCTGGGGCTGGAGTCTGAAAGCTCAGCTGGACTGTGCGTCCACAAGGGCTTGCTCATGGCTAGCAAGCCGGTAATGCTGGCTGTCACCTGGGAGCTCGACTGGGGTAGTTGATCGGTGTGAGTACACTTGACCTCTCCATGTGACTTGGACTTGTGACAGCATATCAGCCAGGTTGCTGAGGATGCATCCAAGGGAATGAGTGTTCCAAGAGGTGGGCAGTAGAAGCTGCTGGCCCCCAAAGCCTGGGCCTGGTGACCGGGACAGTGTCACTTCTGCTCCATGCTGTTGGGAGGAGACATAGAGCCCACCCAGTGAAAGGCGATTTGAAGAATTGATCTGCCACACACAAGGAGATTGGAGAAGCGGGCAGGGGTCAGACTGTGCTGGGCTTTGTAGGCCCTGCTGATGCGGTCTGATAAGAAGCCTGAGTGCTTTGTAGGGGTGAGCTGGCGAGTATACATATTTTAAACATTTTTTAAAATAGCGGACACTTGCTTGCTGTAGAAAGTTGTTCTCTGGGCCCGCGGGTATGAGTGTAGGGAGAACGGCATTGGAAAAGGTCAGGCTCTTCCCTGGCTTACTGTATGAGTAGGCAGATTGCTTCCCTTCCCTGGCTAGTGTTCTAACTGTAAAATGAAGGAGGGGAGCAAGATCAGTGGCTTCCATACTGTTCCTCAGAATTCTTAAGAAGTGCCTGTAGTCCCACGAGGCTGGCAGTGCAAAGCCTGCTTGGATGGGCTCTGGTCCCCTCCCCCACTGCCTTTAACCAGTAATTCTCTTGTGTAACAACTGACAGTTTGGATGGCCACAGATCTAAGTGTATCAGGCATAATTTAAGCTACATGTTACAGAAAACCCCAAATAACAGCAGATTAACAAGATAGAAATGTATTCTCTTTTTTAATGTTGTATTTATTTTTTACTTTTTTAATGTTTATTTTTGAGAGAGAGAGAGAGAGGGAGAGGGCAAGCAGGGGAGGGCAAAGAGAGGGCAGGGGAACAGAGGATCCAAAGCAAGCTCTGTGCTGACAGCAGAGAGCCTAAGGTGGGACTCACACTTATGAAGCATGAGATCATGACCTGAGCCGAAGTCGGAAGCTGAACCAACTGAGCCACCCAGGCACCCCAGAAATGTATTGTTTTCTTAAGTAAGAGAAGCACTA